ACAAATATTATATTAAAAGTGTCATGGTCTTGTTGATGATCACTGTGATGATTTCTGCCTGTTTCCATGACGTCCTGTACAGTATCCCGGGCCGTAGTTAACTGTTATGAATTGGGGAGGGGGACCATCCACGTTAAAACAGTGTTATATCAATAGTTTGATGCACAAAATTAATCTGTAAAAAGATTCTAGCTGCCCCCCTGCCCCCCTGGGCTCCCTACGGCCCTGGTATCAGGCCACCTCTTTTTGAAATCAGGTATGCATTTTGTTGAAAATATAGTAATAAGTAAGGATCGTAATTATTTCTTTCTATTAACAGAAGGGCAGTTTGTCATAACATATTCCATGGGTTTCAGGTTAGGTAGCCGTTGTAAATCTAATAATGGTTGGCAGGTCAGACTGGTGTGTAAAGATACGGAGTTTTACAATGTTTTTATGAGTGTTGACAGTTGTGTGATCCTAGATATCACCCCGCGGGAACTACTGGACAGGTCGTGACACAAGCTGAAGGCAGCACGTGTTGCCTGCCTCACTAATGTGTCAGAGAAACGTCAGTATCAATGATAACCAACTCCTATCACAAAATGTCTGGTTCAAAGGACCGGAGATCTGACCATCTTGGATAGGGATTGAGAAAATACAGAAAATGATTCATTTTGTTTCAGATTTTAAGCTCATAAATAGTTTTAAGGACAACCTGTCCTTAATATAAGCAATAGGTGAAGCTGTCCCAGAGATCCTGGTGCATCCTTCACAAGAGCATGCAAAGTCAGTTTTACACATTAAACAGAGCATAGAAACATAATGTACATACAGAATGGGGACTTGTGACATCATATCGTCACTGAAAACAGGGTTATCCATTCATAGAAAAACAAGTCTTACAGAAATAGCTTAAAATAACTGTTCCCCTTCACCAGAAAGGAATAATTCGTCATCCCCGGAAAATTAATTATCTTTCATAACGACACCTGAAGTACGCTGTGTGAAAGGTTGAAAATAACTTTAGTCGTGATGCTGTAATGTTACTAGGTAAGCAGTGCATTCACCTCTTACTTTCTGTATTGTTTTAACAGCTTCATACCAAACGTAATAGCAAGTTATATACCAAACTTTATTGAAACAATCCCAGACAAAAATCGTATGGAAAAACTCCATTCTTTGATCTTCCGGTGTTCGACAGGGTTGTCAATTATCTCCATTTTTGTTTTCCTTTTTCATCAACGATATGGTTCAGTTCTTATCCAGTGATGATCAGCGTTGTATCGATATTGACTTTATAAATTTGTATATCTTGTTATTTGCAGATGACATTGTTATGTTTGATAGCACAGTGAATTGGTTACAAACAAGGATACATAAGCTAACAGACTATTGTATATTATGGCAATTGAAAATAAATATTGATAAAACTAAAGTTATTGTCTTTAGAAAAGGTGGACGACAAAAGAAATATGAAAGGTTCTTTCTAAATAATGATAGTTTAGAAATTGTATCTTCCTACAAATATCTAGGCTTACACCTTACAATGTTCTACTTCATATTTTTTATGGGAAGGTTCTTTCTGTGTTGTTATATGGCTCCAAATATTACAGCTAAATACGAAGATATTCATTAAAAGTAAACATGTATGTAAAGCTTCTTTGATGGGCATTTTCGAAGTTGAGTTGATAAAGAATAATGACAATTATTATGGATATACAACTTCTTTTATTCTGTGGAGGCGACGTTTCGACATAGGTTCTAATGTCGTTGTCAAGCAAGTGATACATGAGTAATATTCTCTCAATTTGTTACTCATGTACCACTTGCTTGACAACGACATTAGAACCTATGTCGAAACATCACCTCCACAGAATAAAAGAAGTTGTATATCCATAATAATTGTCATTATTCTTCATGTATGTAAAGATAATGAAATATTGGTCTAGATTACTAAATCAGCATCATAATTCAATACTTAGGCATTTATGCAGCTGTCAATTTATATTATCAGAAAAGGGGAAAAGAAAGCTGGGCTCTTAAGGTAAAACATGTATTATATCAAAGTGGCTTTGGCTTGAGCACAAAATGTTGAGTCATGATCCAATTTAATTAATAACTTTAAACAGAGATGTATTGATATTGACAGTCAAACATGGATAGAGAATTTACATAAATATTCTAAGTTAAACTATTATCGGAATGTCAAATTATCTATGTCAACCGAGCTGTATTTATCACTTATAAAGGTGAAAGTGTATAGAATTGCATTTTGTCGGTTTAGATGTAATGATTGAAGAAGGTAGAAAACATAATATTTCAGCATTATAAAGGTTGTGTCCTGTATGTATCATACCAAGACAAGAAAACGAGTATCACTTCATGTTTGAATGTTCTTTTTGTGATAGTTTAAGGTCTGAAATATTACCTAGATATATGTCTGAAAATCACTCACAACAGACAATGCATTTACTGTTTAATAATTCTTTTATTATTAACAACCTTGCCAAATACATATTTCTTGGCTTGAAGAAACGTGCTAAATTTCTAGATATTAAATATTAAAATATTCCAAATGTTGTATGCTTCCATTCACTGTACTGGTGCTCAATGCTTGTTTAATATGTCTCACGAGGTTCAGGACAATTGTCCAAACAATTAAAGCAAATGACATCTGATATATTTACTGTGAAATGTTGGAGGTAAGGTGAGGTGAAGTTGGGTTTAACGTCGTGCTGGAGAATATTTCGCTCATATGACGACGTGCATGCGTGTGTATGTGTATGTGCGGCTGTTTGTACTAGCCCAGACTAAAGCTGGTTTTATAGTGCTAGCCCACTGAGATATACCATGCCGCAGTGAAGCATGAATATCCCACTCAGACACATTATACTGACTCCGAGCCGACCAGTCTTTGTTGTACCCATTAATGTCGAGCGCCAGGCATGGACCAACAAATACCATATTTTAACGTCTTTTGGTATGACGCGGTCGGGGATCGAACCCGCGAACTTCCGCTCTGCGGGCGGACGCTCTAACCACTACACCACGGAAGCGGTCTTGAAATGTTGGACATCCTCAGTGATAGCATCTATGTAACAGCTGGGATGTAGCGGGGATAGTGGGGCAAGAAGCAGGGCATCAGCTGAGCTAACTTTCTATATATATATTTCTATTCTTGCATATGAATCGTATTTTCCGCTCGGATTTGCATAGTATGACAAAAGTTATTTGAGTTAGCCAAATCCCTTCCCCCGATTTACCAACCTCAACCAGAAATAAAGGAGACAAGTGCTTCATATTTGATCTATGGATAAGGATTAGGAATGAGGCATCATCTACAGACCGTATGACAAGATGAACGACACAGTATCTCAGGCCCAGCCTTCTGTCTGCACTTGGCGTGTTTTCTAAAGGAGGACCGAGCATGGTCTTTCAAGGCAGCTTTACAGGAACGTGATACGACTCTTGCTCAAAAGTTGTTTTTTATGCATATTTTTTTATTTTTCATACCATTTTTACAATTGCAGGGTAGAGATCAGGTCAGGTTTGGTTATACAGAGCATGTAACAATAATAATACAAAATAAATCAGTCGTTGAACAGGTTGTGACATGGTTTTGTCGCATTTTTATACATATGTAGCTGTAAGCTGTGGAAAGGATGAGGACAGAGTTGTCGTGGAATGCAACAACTTACTATGATACAAATCCTGAAATAAAAAAAAGAAATCCTGACGTCATCGGATACTTATATACTTCGTTACATACATTCCCTAAACACATCAAAATATAATTCCAGCCACAAGCACAGTAAACTCTAAGGGGCACATTGCTATTGTTGGTGAGTTGGTTGAACGCCTGTTTTGATCTCCATTTCATTCATAGAGGGTCAGCATTATGTGAGTTAAAAACAAAAAATCGCATTCATGTAGCAGACCCACTTGAAATCATAACTAGGGACATTATATGATTTCAAACCCCATTTCATAAGCTCCTGAAACACCTACTGTCATAAGCTCCTGAAGCACCTACTATCGTAAGTTCCTGACGCACCTACTGTCATAAGCTCCTGAAACACCTACTGTCATAAGCTCCTGAACCACCTACCATCATCAGCTCCTGAAGCACTTCCTATTCATAAGCTCCTAAAGCACATACTAGTATGCGTTCCTGAAGCACCTGCTATCATAACCTCCTGAAGCACCTACTATCACAAGCCCCTAAAGCACCTACTGTCATAAGCTCCTGAACCACCTACTATAAGTTCCTGAAGCAGTTCCTAAAATCCGTCATAAGTAAATAGTGATGACATCAAATACTAGTACGTCCTAACCAGTCTGCAGGGTAATAGTATATACCACAGCACAGTACGAGCGGATTGTGGATGGGAGATATGCATGTTAATATAGTATATTGTCCAGTTGAGCAATAAAACCAACTTTTCACTGTCATCATCGAGGTATTTTAGCCTGTCCATCTCTCAGTCGTTGTTCAGCGTGACGGAAACAGCTGACAAGTGCGTGACGAGAAGCAAGAAATATGCCTGACGTATTCTAATTTCAAACTCTCTCTAATAGCCATCATAAAAACTAAAACTAGATTTTGATAACTCAATTAACATAACTATGTAAATTGCACATATTTCATGGTCATTTGTTGGGTTTGCTTATAAAAAGAAATGGCAGTAGCCAGCTGTACGAAGGGTGTGGTTTTTTTCTGTTTAACACAACACTGGCCATATTCTGGCTATTACACTCCAAAGCCGGATTATTCTGGTTAGGACGAGACAAGCCAAAGATTGATATGACGACGACAAAGGGACATACAAAGGTCTTACAACCTGGAATACAGAAGGCAATCATTTTGTAGAGATGATGGTGATATCAGCAACGTCGACTTCGACGACGGTGGTGATGATGATGAGGACGACGACGATACAGATAATGATGATGATTATGATGACGACGGCGGCGATAGGGATGATGATAATGATGATGATCATGATGATGATGATGATGGTGGTGGTGGTGGTGGTGGTGGTGGTGGTGGTGGTGGTGGTGATGATGATGATGATGATGATGATGATGATGATGATGACGACGACGGCGGCGATAGGGATGATGATAATGATGATGATGATGATGATGATGATGGTGGTGGTGGTGATGATGATGATGATGATGATGATGATGATGACGACGACGGCGGCGATAGGGATGATGATAATGATGATGATGATGATGATGATGATGGTGGTGGTGGTGGTGGTGGTGGTGATGATGATGATGATGATGATGATGATGATGATGATGATGACGACGGCGGCGATAGGGATGATGATAATGATGATGATGATGATGATGATGATGATGATGATGATGATGATGATGATGGTGGTGGTGGTGGTGGTGATGATGATGATGATGATGATGATGGTGGTGGTGGTGGTGGTGATGATGATGATGATGATGACGACGACGACAACGATATAGATGATGATGATTATTCCCATTCCAAGCTACAAAGTATGTGATGGAAAGGTGTATATCCATATGAAATCCGGGAACGTCGGAATGAAATGTTCTTACTATGTTTGGGGACTAAATTAGAACGAGGTGACACATTTTGAAATTTGTACACCATAAAAACGTGTTGATCCACCAAAACAGGCGTTCCTCGTCAAGCCAGCAATCCATCATGTTTTTTTACGGCCTGTCAGCCAGACAGCCCATTCGCGTTGTCCCAGTGTACACCACCCTTAGCAAGCTCCCCATCAGCCCCCTCCCCCACTACCACCACCCCCACCCACAAACGCCGTGCGTCATGTTGGTGCTAACGGTAAATCATACGTAGTACCTGTCTACTCATCGCTCGTCATGATGTATAAAATACACAGATGGTATTGTCTTATTCAAACGTTTCCTTCAAGAACGTGAAACCTCGCCCAGCGCTGTGCTGTTTACGACCATGTGTGCACCTCAGCATAACGAGACACCTCCTTTGTGAGGGTTTCCAATATCGTGACTAAGACGATGATAAGTAAGCAATCAATCAACCTTTTATTCCCATTAAGCATTCATTGTGTTACATGACCGTATTTTACAAAGACGTTTTCTAATAAATAACATTCCTATATATTAAACCAACTTCCGTGTTATACAATCATATTCTCTGATGAATGTCTTTTTGTAGTTCGTTAGAAGTCCTATTTTGTACCCGGTAAACCTGAGGTGGCATGTTCTGTCCACGGTAAACTATGACAACCACGTCTAACGACGTCGTAGGAGCTGTTTCGTCGGATGATGACCGATCAGCTAAACATGGGGGATGTAATGGGTAACTATAAATGTCCTCCTCTTACGAGACAGTTGGTAAGAAGGATGTGTTATGGGGCGTTTTACACCTGATTCACTGGTCCACAGAGCAGCATGTGGGAATCTAGATTCCAGAGGTGTAATATTCTGAACATGTAAATTTTTCACACTTACATGTACTAGCCAATATTAACGCATGAACGACTCCACTTGTGAGTGGGTGAGTGCAGTTTTACGCCGCACTCAGCAATATTCCAGATATATGGCGGCGGTCTGTAAATAATCGAGTCTGGGCCAGACAATCCAGTGATCAACAGCATGAGCATCGATCTACGCAAGTGTGATACGATGACAAGTGTCAACCAAGTCAGCGAGCCTGACCACCCGATCCCGTTAGTCGCCTCTGACGACAAGCATGGGTTACTGAAGACCAACTCTAACCCGGATCTTCACAGGTACTACACGAATGAACGAGTGTAGAAGCACATATAGTAAAGTCTCAGACAGTTGCGATATGCATCATGACAATTGATGATGATGACTATTTTTCAAACTTTGTGAACAGTAGAATACCTGTCTTCAAGTAACTGAAATATGTTTTAGTTGTTTGACAAATAACACCATTTATTAACAACTATGAACGATGTCTTAGCTTTGTTAAGAAAGAGAACAAAAGCGATAAAATTTAGAAAGCAGACTTAAGAGGTTTTTTCTGTGATTCTGATTTCTGATACAAATTACAAAGAATTGGTGTAGAAACACAACTTCCAAGGGAAACTTCACTTTCAAATGTATTCATATTTGATCAAGGTATACTGAATATGTTTGACTGTACTGTCTTAAGCATTATATCAGTGTATGAAATAAGACCCGTCCGACAGCCCGAGACGGTCTAGATTTCTGACGGACGGTCTACATTTACAGCTAGCCAGCCCGATGGTCTGGTAAAAATTGTAGATGTTCCATATATCTGAGTAAATTCACCATATTTGGTCTGGTTAAATCCATTTTTGGATGGTAACATTTTGAAGTTACCAGCCCTAATGTCTGGCTGGGTTTTTGGCTTATTTCATATACTGATTATATGCTGAAATTTTATTAGATCAACAGCTCTTTAAGTAGGTGTGAATGTAACAGACGTTTTGCTGTTTATCGTGATGATATTCGTCTCGCAAGTTCCTTGCCAATACGATATATCGTCTCGCCTCATTAAACTGGTATCGGGATATATCGTTTCGCAACTTAGGTCATGATACACCGCTCTACTGATGGTGTATGGTTTAGTAATACTTATACATTCAAATGTAGAGCAAAGGGAAATATTCTCATAACAGTACAGTGCAATATACTAGATATCGGTCAAGAGAATACACTATACTTACAAAAACACATCCATCTCAGGGAACGATGAAAGAAGATGCCGGGTATTTATTGAGTCACATTTCTCCTAAAGAAGAAAATTAATTATAACGTCAACGCCAGGGACTATATATTCAGCCTCAATGGACGTGAAGGGGAAAGGTGAAGGTCAACGTATGAGGGAAAAACTGAGTCACCGACGGCAGAGTAAACATGTTTGCTATAACGGGCGCATCCGTCGCTCAGACATATCACTGAAATAATTGCAAGTGACTGGAAAGGTGTAGAACGCCTTGTACCAGTCCAAGAACCATGTTGACAGATCGCTGGAATGGCTTAACCAGGTCTTTGAGGTGACCGTGTCGTGAACCACAACACGACATGCAGTAAACAGGGACTTGTGTCTTGAACAATCAGGAGAAAGATTGTTCGGTTAACTGCAGAGCACCCAGGACATCTGAATACGACACCGACGCTTCGAAATGGCAAAAGTGGGAACACTAGGAAAACGTAGGGATATCACAGCAACACTTCCAGGACGCATGTCGGGACATCCAACAACAGGTCTAGGATACCTTTCGGGACATCCAACAACATCTCTTGGACACATGTCGGGACATTAAACAACACTACCATGAAACATGTCGGGACATCTCAAGACAACTCTAGGACACATGTAGGGTCATCCAACAACACCTCTAGGACACCTGTTGGACGCCCAACATCACATCTAGGACACATATTAGGACATCCAACACTCTAGGACACATGTCGGGACACCCAACAACACCCTAGGACACCTGTCGGACACCCAACATCACCTCTAGGACACATATTAGGGACATTCAACACTCTAGGACACATGTCGGGACACCCAACAACACCCCTAGGACACCTGTCGGACACCCAACATCACCTCTAGGACACATATTAGGGACATCCAACACTCTAGGACACATGTCGGGACACCCAACAACACCCCTAGGACACCTGTCGGACACCCAACATCCCTCTAGGACACATATTAGGGACATCCAACACTCTAGGACACATGTCGAGACACCCAACAACAACACCCCTAGGACACCTGTCGGACACCCAACATCCCCTCTAGGACACATATTAGGGACATCCAACACTCTAGGACACATGTCGGGACACCCAACAACACCCCTAGGACACCTGTCGGACACCCAACATCACCTCTAGGACACATATTAGGGACATCCAACACTCTAGGACACATGTCGGGACACCCAACAACACCCCTTGGACACCTGTCGGACACCCAACATCACCTCTAGGACACATATTAGGGACATCCAACACTCTAGGACACATGTCGGGACACCCAACAACACCCCTAGGACACCTGTCGGACACCCAACATCCCCTCTAGGACACATATTAGGGACATCCAACACTCTAGGACACATGTCGGGACACCCAACAACACCCCTAGGACACCTGTCGGACACCCAACATCACCTCTAGGACTCATGAAGGGACATCCAACAATACCTCTAGGACTCATGAAGGGACATCCAACAATACCTCTAGGACACATGTCGGACACCCAACATCACCTCTAGGACACATGTCGGACACCCAACATCACCTCTAGGACTCATGAAGGGACATCCAACAATACCTCTAGGACTCATGAAGGGACATCCAACAATACCTCTAGGACACATGTCGGGACATCCAACAACACTTCTAGGACACATATCGGGACATCCAACAACACTTCTCGGACACATGTCGGGACATCCAACAACACTTCTAGGACACATATCGGGACACCCAATACCACCCCTAGGACACCTGTCGGACACCAACATCACCTCTAGGACACATGTCGGGACACTCGACAACACCTCTAGGACAGCGTATGCATAGAGACGGGTCTAGTATGAATGTCGAGGAATAACAAAAAGTATCGGTCTCTATTACTTTAACCACTGTGCACAGATGTCTATCCTAATTTAGTAAAATCAGATAGTAAAATGAACATCTATTAGATTAACAGACGCCGACTTTGTGTGTTCTACAAGTAGTCAAATTCCAAATTGTCTTACAACCTAACGTAGGTTCATTTAAGCGGTATCTTCCCATAAGACAGGCCTCCCAAAAGACAGACCGCAAAAAACAACACATTTTATGTTTGGTTGCATAAGGCTTAATCAAGCTGTACCCTTGATAATAATGGTATGTGCCTAGATAAAGAAGACAACATTAGGTATTAACTATAGTTTTTTTCAATTCATGTAATAAATTATAAATTATAAATAATGACGTATTGCATCAACATATATGTACATAAACATATAGTTGCCAGATCACATTTACTTGTGAAT